TCCACATATACAGCAGCAGGCGTCAGGGTCGCGATCGAACCCACGACCTCCTGCATACCAGGCGAGGTAGTTAGCATCTCCTAGCCACCGTGATGATGAGAGAGAGACACGCAAACTCCACATATACAGCAGCAGGCGTCAGGGTCGCGATCGAACCCACGACCTCCTGCATACCAGGCGAGGTAGTTAGCATCTCCTAGCCACCGTGATGATGATGAGAGAGATAGACACACAAACTCCAAATATACAGCGGGTGTCACAGGGTCGGGATCGAAGCCACGACCTCCTGTATACCAGGCGAGGTAGTTAACATCTCCTAGCCACCGTGATGATGATGAGAGAGAGACACGCAAACTTCAAATACACAGCAGGTGTCACAGGGTCGGTATCGAAGCCACGACCTCCTGTATACCAGGCGAGGTAGTTAACATCTCCTAGCCACTGTGATGATGATGAGAGAGAGAGACACGCAAACTCCACATATACAGCAGCAGGCGTCAGGGTCGCGATCGAACCCACGACCTCCTGCATACCAGGCGAGGTAGTTAGCATCTCCTAGCCACCGTGATGATGATGAGAGAGACACGCAAACTCCAAATATACTTCAGGCGTCAGGGTCGGGATCGAACCCACGACCTCCTGCACACCAGGCGAGGTAGTTAACATCTCCTAGCCTCCAAGCCTTACTTAATTGGCTGTGCCGGGTGGTTGTGGGTTTCACGACACATTTATATTCACGCGATCTAACCCAAAAAATAAAACCTGTATTATGTTTTGTTTACGTGACAAGCCCTTACTAATGGGCTGTGCCCGGTGGTGGCGGTATTTCACGACACATTTATATTCCCCGTAACCCAAAAAAAAACTCCATGTTGGATAAAACGTCCTCATCTCGCGACGCGATGCCTGGGATTTGCGCGGCTGGGATTGCAAGCGAAGGCAAACAATAGCAAAAAATCACAGTTCGTGAATAATTCAAGGTTGCGCAATGCTGCCTTCACGAGTTGCTGATGCCAGCCGGTAACTTGCCACTGCTGGGAAAAAAGTCTGTTTTTTTTCTGTTCCTCAGCCAATTTTCCACTGCCACATGCAAACCGTGCCAGTGCAGGGCCCTCACAGCACTGGTAGTTTTTTCCACTGGCACATCCGAACCATGCCAGTGCAGGGCCCTCACAGCACTGGTAGTTTTTTCCACTGGCACATCCGAACCGTGCCAGTGCAGGCCCTCACAGCACTGGTAGTTTTTCCACTGGCACATCCGAACCGTGCCAGTGCAGGCCCTCACAGCACTGGTAGTTTTTCCACTGGCACATCCGAACCATGCCAGTGCAGGACCCTCACAGCACTGGTAGTTTTTCCACTGGCACATCTGAACCATGCCAGTGCAGGGCTCTCACCGTACTGGTGTTTTTTTTCTTTCACTGGCCGTTTGCCAAGCAGAGTCAGACCCACCCAATCCGTGACACACACAAGACATCCGAATCCAGCTCTGATTTCCAAGCAGGGCCAGGGGTTGGGGCTGACGACGCATTCGGTTCCGTTGCGACGTTGGAACGCAACGCGCAATCGTCTGTGCGATCATCTCCGCCTGTTCGTTATCACCGAGGCTGGCTTGGCACAGCCTTCAGGCACGGCTCATATTCTTAGGTTTTTTTCGGTAAAGTCACGTAGGTAAAAAATTAAAATTAATAAAAAATTAATAATAACAGTCACAGCACGATAGCTATCGTGATAGCTATCGTGCTGTGACCGTTCCACCTGAAGACGGAGGCTTGTGTTGCCTCCGAAACGTCGTGATTTTTATTTTTATTTTACTTTTATTAATTTTAATTTTTCACCTACGTGACTTTACCGAAAAAAACCTAAGAATATGAATCCTTGCAGTCACGAAAGCTTGAAATCTAGGCACGGCTCAGTTGCGCAGTGGAAAAATTAAATGTGCGGCCCGTTCCTGTCCGGTCGTGACCTCCGAACTTTGTGACCTCCGAACTCTGTGACCTTGTCCCGTCACCGTCACCGTCTGCTTCGTTTCCCTTCTCTCGTTGGTGACTCCCGCGACGGCCTCGTCTCTCTCGCTCTCTCTCCGTCTCCTCGTCGTCGGTGGTTGTCGTGACGCTTCCCGCCCCATTTCCGCCCGATTTCTCTCCGCCAATTCCTCTGTGGGTCCTTAACGAGCCTCCTCGGTGGAAAATGGCGTGATTTAATTAGCGCAAATATTTACGCCGCGGGGACCGGTCTCTTGCTGGACCCGCCGAGGCTCTGTCTGCGCGTGCATGTGCGCGCGCGTGTGCGTCCGAGTGTTGCGTGCGCGTCTGTAAGCCGCCCTTAGGGAGACAGTGCTGTCTAACCTTGCCTGTGCCTGTGCGTGCGCGTGTGGATTGGGTTTATAGGGAGCGGCCGCGTAGCGGTTAACACTCTGCGCTACAAACCCAGCGACCCAAATTCAATTCCCCGCTCACGGCTGACACCGGTGACGATTATCCGAACCGGTCCTGGGCCTCCGCTAGGTCGACTCGGCCTCAAATGAGCACCTCGTGCGGTGCGTAAAAATCATCGCCACTGGGGAGACAAAGGCGGCCGGGCGTGGCATAGGCCACCCGACGCCCCTTGCGTGGCGTGCCGGACTTCATAGGCGCTACTTGCTGACATCACTTGCCCCAAACGGTCTGTTCAGCCGACACGGGGGATCTTTGGATCGGGTTGCCAACTGTGTCCTGGCTTTCCCAGGATCGTAGTCTTGTTGACGAGGGCAGCTGCTGTTCGGGCAAACACTCTGAACTCTTCCCAAGACATTGAACACTCACGCCCTCGGATTTGTTCGTTGTGCGACGATAATAATAATCTTCTGGGTTCTTTCGGTAAAGTCACGTAGAATGGAAATAATAAAATAATAAAAATAAAACATAATAAAATAATTCTCACGACGTTTCGGCCACAACGCAAGCAGCCGTCCTCAGGTGGAGAACACGACACTCGGCAACAACGCGGGCACGCTCCGTTCGCAATTCAGCGGTCGCCGGTTCAACCTCCCGGCGCGGCAGTTGAAAGCAAAGTTTCTTAAATCTCCCTCCCACCCAACCCACACCACCACCGGTGTGGTAAAGAGCGGATAACCCACCGCCTCTTCCTGGACGCCTGGGCCAGCGCAAGAAGATTAGGCCAAATACCCCCTCGTAGATGGGGGGCCTTCTCTCTGGTTGAGCGGGCGGTGAGTGTCTCAGCCGGCCGAGCGGCGAGGCGTCTTTCAGAAAAACGAGAATGACAACGTCGCACCGCCCGTGGCGGTTGTGTCCGACCGTACTTCACCGCACTCGGGCAGCGCGCGTCGCTGGTTAAGCCGCGGAGGGTTTGTGAGCGACGCACGGTGTCGCTCGTAGCTGGTGTTGGGGTCGTGGCCAGGCATCGAGTTCGGTGGCCCGGTGACCCAGTCGCTGGGCTAGCCACCACCCCGTCTAATGATAACGACGACAGGCGTTGACGATGACGACGACGACGACAACAACGAACTGTATTTAAATCACTCTGCGGGGTGGTGAGTGTACCATGCGCTCGAGTGGTGAGCGGCTCTATCTTGTTGAGTCATGTATCTGGTCGAGCGGCGAGTGATGTATCTGGTTGAGCGGTGAGTGATGTATCTGGTTGAGCGGTGAGTGATGTATCTGGTTGAGCGGCGAGTGATGTATCTGGTTGAGCGGCGAGTGATGTATCTGGTTGAGTGATGTATCTGGTTGAGTGATGTATCTGGTTGAGTGATGTATCTGGTTGAGTGATGTATCTGGTTTAGTGATGTATCTGGTTGAGCGGTGAGTGATGTATCTGGTTGAGTGATGTATCTGGTTGAGTGGTGAGTGATGTATCTGGTTGAGCGGTGAGTGATGTATCTGGTTGAGTGATGTATCTGGTTGAGTGATGTATCTGGTTGAGTGATGTATCTGGTTGAGTGATGTATCTGGTTGAGCGGTGAGTGATGTATCTGGTTGAGTGATGTATCTGGTTGAGTGGTGAGTGATGTATTTGGTTGAGCGGTGAGTGATGTATCTGGTTGAGTGATGTATCTGGTTGAGTGATGTATCTGGTTGAGTGATGTATCTGGTTGAGTGATGTATCTGGTTGAGTGATGTATCTGGTTGAGCGGTGAGTGATGTATCTGGTTGAGTGATGTATCTGGTTGAGTGATGTATCTGGTTGAGTGGTGAGTGATGTATCTGGTTGAGCGGTGAGTGATGTATCTGGTTGAGTGATGTATCTGGTTGAGTGATGTATCTGGTTGAGTGATGTATCTGGTTGAGCGGTGAGTGATGTATCTGGTTGAGTGATGTATCTGTTTGAGCGGTGAGTGTTTGAGAGGTGACGAGACTGAACGGTCACACGCATTTGCCACTCGATGCCGCGACATCGCTCGAATGGAGCGGTGTGCCATGCGTGAACATTACCTGCGCCGGCAAAGTACCCGATTGGGCAAAGCCACCCCAGCGACATCACCCGCTGCCCGCGAACTCGCAGCCGCCGGCAGAACGCCGTGTGGCCCGCGATGGCCTTGCGCCCGTGAGGACGGCACAGCCAGCGAGCGCGCGGGTCAACTTGGCGGTGCCGGGTTGAGGCGGCGCTGTAACCGTGGGGCGTGTGGCGATCGTTCTCGGTCCCAAGCAGCCGAGATCGACTCCTGGTTGTGCCACGCCGACCCCCCACGCCCTCTAGGTCGACTCAGCCTAAACTGAGCCGTGGCAACGAATGTGTCCGTGGGCATGAATCGGCGCGGCGAGCGAGGTGAAGGAGGTGCGGGTGACTGGGCCCGTGGGCACGGCGCTAGCCACGCCGCCTTCTCTATGGCGTGCATGTGTGCATGCGTGCGAGCGTGCGTGCGAGCGTGTGTGTGTGCGTGCGTGCGAGTGAGCGTGTGTGCATGCGTGCGAGCGTGCATGGCTCACCGGCCTCACTAGGTGCCCGCAAACACGACTCGCATCCACAGTGCACCTGTGTCTTCTCTCGTCTGCGTGCAGGCCTCGGCAAAGGAGGTGTCGTTTGGACCGATCAGACTGCTGCAGGATCCGATTCAGGTGGGACGGGGCATTTGCGTGCGTGCGTCTGCGTAGGTGGGGAGCGGCGGCGCAGCGGTTAGCGCACTGCGCTACGAACCCGGCACTGCGATCTGCGAACCCGGCGACCCGAGTTCGATTCCCGCTCGCGACCAATGATGACTCGGTCTTAAATGAGTACCGGGTACGCTGTGTAACGATCAGCACTGGGGAGACAAAGGCAGCCGGGCGTGGGGCTGGCCACCTACCCTCTCCATGCGTCATGCCGGCCTTCATGTCGGTGCTACTCGCTAGCAGCACTGGTCTCACGATTCTCTTTTGGCTATGCGGGGGATCTTTGCCTCTGCCTGTTTGTGGAATGTAATATCTGAGATCAAGAGAGCTGTGGGTAAGGAGATCGAGCTGTAGAGAGCTGAGAGGAGGGAGATGCAGATGAGAGAGATGCCGTGAGATCCGAGGGATGCAGACACGGAGCTGCATAGATGGCGGCAGTTTATCGGTTTGTTTACATGAATTAGCTCGTCCGTGGTTAGTTGGATTTTCAACTCGGGACTTAGTATTTTTGCTTTTCTCCCTCCGTCCGTTGTTTTTTTTTATCATGAATTTGGGGGGCCGCCCCCTTTGAGCTCTTTGGGATTTCCTTCCCCCCCCCCCTTTCTCTCTCCGCCTGTCGTGGTCCACTGAGCGTTCACTAGTTTGTTTAGTTAGTTCGTGAGTTGTTTTATTTAGTTGATTTTATCCAGTTTATTTATTAGTGCGTTAGTTATGCTTTATTTAGTTCATTTGATCTAGTTTAGTTCATTAGTTAAGTTTTATTTTACTTCATTTTGTCTCGTCTATTTAGTTAGTTCGTTAGTTATGTTTTAGTTAGTTCATTTGATCTAGTTTATCTAGTTAGTTCGTTAGTTATGCTTCGCGCACTTCATTTTATTTTTAGTCGATTTAGTAAGTTTCGTGCGCGCGTCCCTCGGCTACTTGAGGATTTTGAGCCAGGCGGCCAGGGTTGGGCGAGAACCAACTTTACGACGGGAAAACTAACGACCAGCACGGACTAAAGCGTAACGAGCCTCACATTAAAAGCAACAGTAAGGTAGAAGCACATCCCTCGCCTGTGCCCCTTCTCTGGCTTACCGTTCGTACCCCCCCCCCCCCTCGTATTGATTTTAAGATTTTGTTGCTGCCATTCGAGGCCTTATATGGACTAGCTCCACCACCCCTACGTCCATGGCCTCCTTCAGCCACCATCTTATCTGACAGGCACTATTTTACTTCACCGAGTGTTGACATCCCCATCGTTTAACAGTACTCTCTGTATTGTCTGCCAACACTGGTATAAACAACGTGGGCATTTTCGTGCTCTTCTATCATGCGCACCAACAGGTGCTTGTGCACAGGCATGTCCATGTACACGTGCACCCCGTGCTCTCTTTTAGCCCCGCCCTCCCTCCCGATACGTTCCATTCATTGGCTACCACATTCTGATAAGCTCCTCCCCCCCCCTCTCCTCCCCCTTAACTTGTATTTAAGAACTTGCATCTTGGAATCCCTGCCTCACTTGATGCAGCAAATCTGGCTGTGACGGTCCCACCTGATGACGGAGACTTGTGTTGCCTCCGAAACGTCGTGACTTTTATTATTTTATTTTTTATTAATTTTAATTTCATTTTTTACCTACGTGACTTTACCTAAAAAACGAAGAGTATCCTTCAGCCACGTATATTCCATCAAGTGTCATTAAGATCCTCAGATTGTCCACTGCTCACTGTCCCCGCGGTCTCTCGGCTCTACACACTCGGGGGGGGGGGGGGGGGGGCGGTGACGGCGCCTTTGCTTACTACTGCACCGAAACTTCCGAGACACTTGGCAAATCTTCAAATCTCGACTAAAAAAAACGCAATCTGTTTTAAAATAGCTTTCTATCTCTTATTTTCAACCGTCTTCCTCACATCTTCTTGTTCTTCTTCTTTCCTGAGTTGACGTTCAAATATTTCCACACTTTTGATGCGTAGCGACCCTGAGAACGATTGTTGAAGGGCGCTTTATGAATGTAAATTATTATTAAAGAGACGAACAACATTATATATACTACTAGCTTTACTACTCGGCTTCGCCCGAGACTTGGATTCTTGGCTTGGATGAATACACGGCCTACACGGAGGGTGGGGGGGGGGAAATGAGTGACGTCATCAGACACTGCGTGACGTCAGCAGGCACGCTGCGTGACGTCAGCAGGCACACTGCGTGACGTCATCAGGCACGCTGCGTGACGTCAGCAGGCACGCTGCGTGACGTCAGCAGGCACGCTGCGTGACGTCAGCAGGCACGCTGCGTGACGTCATCAGGCACGCTGCGTGACGTCATCAGGCACGCTGCGTGACGTCAGCAGGCACGCTGCGTGACGTCAGCAGGCACGCTGCGTGACGTCATCAGGCACGCTGCGTGACGTCATCAGGCACGCTGCGTGACGTCATCAGGCACGCTGCGTGACGTCAACAGGCACGCTGCGTGACGTCATCAGGCACGCTGCGTGACGTCAACAGGCACGCTGCGTGACGTCATCAGGCACGCTGCGTGACGTCATCAGGCACGCTGCGTGACGTCAGCAGGCACGCTGCGTGACGTCAGCAGGCACGCTGCGTGACGTCAGCAGGCACGCTGCGTGACGTCAGCAGGCACGCTGCGTGACGTCATCAGGCACGCTGCGTGACGTCATCAGGCACGCTGCGTGACGTCAGCAGGCACGCTGCGTGACGTCAGCAGGCACGCTGCGTGACGTCATCAGGCACGCTGCGTGACGTCATCAGGCACGCTGCGTGACGTCATCAGGCACGCTGCGTGACGTCAACAGGCACGCTGCGTGACGTCATCAGGCACGCTGCGTGACGTCAACAGGCACGCTGCGTGACGTCATCAGGCACGCTGCGTGACGTCAGCAGGCACGCTGCGTGACGTCAGCAGGCACGCTGCGTGACGTCAGCAGGCACGCTGCGTGACGTCAGCAGGCACGCTGCGTGACGTCAGCAGGCACGCTGCGTGACGTCATCAGGCACGCTGCGTGACGTCATCAGGCACGCTGCGTGACGTCATCAGGCACGCTGCGTGACGTCAGCAGGCACGCTGCGTGACGTCAGCAGGCACGCTGCGTGACGTCAGCAGGCACACTGCGTGACGCTGCCCGTGCGGGTGACATCACAGATGTGACGTCAACGCTCACTTGCCGTGCAAAATATATACATTATTGCCCCCCCCGCCCCCCAAAATACAAAAGTCTATTTTTATAGATGTTTCATTGTGTACAGTCTGGAAGCTACCCACATGCCAAATTTCAAGTTTGTTGCATGTCGGGAAGTATGCTAAACATTTCGAACAGACACACATATTCACAAATTTCCCTTTTATCTATATAGATTGAAAAGAATGAAACACCATGGGACCTCCTTTGCCCGTCCCAAAATATGAGAATAGGTTTGTCCCCTTTTTCTGGCAACTAAACAGTTGTGTTAAGATGTTCAAACACCAAACTGAAACATTTTACAAGGAATCGTGTCTGCATTAACCACAATACTTGTGGTCAGAATGCAAAAAAAACATACTCTGATAGTATATGTGCATTGTCTTTGAAACTGATTGGCCCACACCAGAGACGGCTTTCTTTTGAGCCTCGTCGAAACTAATTGGCCCACACCAGAGACAGCTTTCTTTTGAGCCTCGTCGAAACTGATTGGCCCACACCAGAGACAGCTTTCTTTTGAGCCTCGTCGAAACTGATTGGCCCACACCAAAGAGAGCTTTCTTTTGAGCCTCGTCGAAACTAATTGGCCCACACCAGAGACAGCTTTCTTTTGAGCCTCGTCGAAACTAATTGGCCCACACCAAAGAGAGCTTTTTTTTGAGCCTCGTCGAAACTGATTGGCCCACACCAGAGACAGCTTTCTTTTGAGCCTCGTCGAAACTAATTGGCCCACCCCAAAGAGAGCTTTCTTTTGAGCCTCGTCGAAACTAATTGGCCCACACCAAAGAGAGCTTTTTTTTGAGCCTCGTCGAAACTGATTGGCCCACACCAAAGAGAGCTTTTTTTTGAGCCTCGTCGAAACTGATTGGCCCACACCAGAGACAGCTTTCTTTTGAGCCTCGTCGAAACTAATTGGCCCACACCAAAGAGAGCTTTCTTTTGAGCCTCGTCGAAACTAATTGGCCCACACCAAAGAGAGCTTTATTTTGAGCCTCGTCGAAACTAATTGGCCCACACCAGAGAGAGCTTTCTTTTGAGCCTCGTCGAAACTGATTGGCCCACACCAGAGAGAGCTTTCTTTTGAGCCTCGTCGAAACTGATTGGCCCACACCAGAGAGAGCTTTCTTTTGAGCCTCGTCGAAACTGATTGGCCCACACCAGAGAGAGTTTTCTTTTGAGCCTCGTCGAAACTGATTGGCCCACACCAAAGAGAGCTTTCTTTTGAGCCTCGTCGAAACTAATTGGCCCACACCAAAGAGAGCTTTCTTTTGAGCCTCGTCGAAACTAATTGGCCCACACCAGAGAGAGCTTTCTTTTGAGCCTCGTCGAAACTAATTGGCCCACACCAGAGAGAGCTTTCTTTTGAGCCTCGTCGAAACTAATTGGCCCACACCAGAGAGAGCTTTCTTTTGAGCCTCGTCGAAACTAATTGGCCCACACCAAAGAGAGCTTTTTTTTTAGCCTCGTCGGAACTAATTGGCCCACACCAAAGAGAGCTTTCTTTTGAGCCTCGTCGAAACTAATTGGCCCACACCAGAGACAGCTTTCTTTTGAGCCTCGTCGAAACTGATTGGCCCACACCAAAGAGAGCTTTCTTTTGAGCCTCGTCTCAAACACATCTTGCCACTTTGGCACCCCAAGTACAGTACATTGATCTGGGCAAGGGCTGCCTAAGAACGACGTTTATTTGACTTTTATTAATTTTAATGTTTTACCTACGTGACTTTACCGAAAAAACCTAAGTATATGAATCATTGCAGTCACGAAAGCTTCAAATCTAGAATTAATG